ATAATGGCGCTGCCCGGGTGAAATTTGCAGTTAAAAATCACCCAAAGTATTTCTCGATCTTCGCCGGTGCTACAGAGCATGTGTACTGTGTTGAGTTTTTTCGGATTTAAGTTAGAAGAAGAACGAAGCACTTATGGGTTACTGCCGTGTGCCATGATGTTGATCCGTTGTTCAAACCTCAAACCTCAAACTTGCTAAGAATAATGACTTTCTCTGGTCTGTACGTAGTATGATAATCATCTTAAGCCTACTTTAGCGGCTTTCTGACTGATTTGATTGTTCTCTTCTTCTGTTGGTAAAGAGACTGGTACGTCAGGTTGTTCTTCATGTGCACTTCCTTAGCTAGTTTATCAGTTTTGTCATTTCCAAGAACTCAAAAGGGAAGTACGTATTATGTGATATTGCCAATCTATATGGAACAGTTGCATTTATAGAAATAAAGTGTGTGTGTGTGAGTGTGTGTGTGTTTATATTATATGTATATATATTAATACATATATATATATGGAACCTTTCAAAAGCCAATGGAAAATCTTTAATGGAAGACAGCCTTGCATATGACACCACAACATCTAACATGAGAATGGAGGTGGAGGCGGTAACTGCAGCTCTCCGGTGGCTAGAGAACAAGATGCATACACATGTCGTAGATGTAACAGACTCAGCTCATTTATGGAACCTGAAGATGCTGAGAATGTAAATGATACTCATACATATCACAATAAAGAACAAAAGACAGAGGTAAAGGACACTTTTCAGCGCCTTCAGGCGTATTGGGCACATAGGGCTAGACCTATATTTTATAGACCAATCGGCACTTGGTGGGCGATGTGGTCAAAATCACAGCGGCCGCTTTTACTTCAAGGGACTTTACCAAGTGAGCATTTAAGGCTAGGATGGCCTGGACGCCAATGTCATTTTTTGAAGGGGAAAAGTCCGTCCCTGTCAGGGTCTGAACCCACGAACTTCGGATTAGCAGGCGAGCTTCTAGCCGCTACACCATGGTGGCTTAGATAATAAAGAATAGGGCAATAAACTGTTAATTAATATCGTTAACATATATGAGGTGGTGGTGTTGATTTTAGTAATAACATTATTATTATTATTATTATTATTATTAGTAGTAGTAGTAGTAGTAGTAGTAGTAGTAGTAGTAGTAGTAGTAGTAGTAGTAGTAGTAGTAGTAGTAGTAGTAGTAGTTGTTGTTGTTGTTGTTGTTGTTGTTGTTTATTAGTAGCACTGGTGGTAGGGAAAGTCGTAGCAGCAGCAGCGGTAGTAGTGGTTCTAGTAATAGTAGTAGTAGTAGTAGTAGTAGTAGTAGTAGTAGTAGTAGTAGTAGTAGTAGTAGTAGTAGTAGTAGTAGTAGTAGCAGTAGTAGTAGTAGTAGTGGTGGTGGTTGTCGTAGTAGTAGTAGTAGTAGTAGTAGTAGTAGTAGTAGTAGTAGTAGTAGTAGTAGTAGTAGTAGTAGTAGTAGTAGTAGTAGTAGTAGTAGTAGCAGTAGTTTAGTAGTTAAGTAGTAGTATTGGAGGTGATGGAAGTAGCAGCAACAGCAGCAGCAGCAGTGATAGTAGTAGTTGTTGTAATTATTATTAGTGTTGTTAAGCAGACTTTTTGTTGTTGTTTGCTTGTTAGGATGACTGTTGTTGTTTGCTTGTTAGGATGACTGTTGTTGTTAATGTTGAAAATGATGCAATACTAGCAGCTTTTGCTCTAGCTGTCATAGTTGTAATCGCAGTGGTGGTGGTGGTGGTAGTAGTTATTGTTATTATTATTATTTTTGTTAGAACAGTAGCAGTTGTTGTTTGTGTGGCTTCTGTTTTTCTTGTTTGTGTCACTGTGGTTGTTAGTGTGGCTTGTGTTTTTATTGTTTGTGTCACTGTGGTTGTTGGTGTGGCTTGTGTTTTCTTGTTTGTGTCACTGTGGTTGTTGGTGTGGCTTGTGTTTTTATTGTTTGTGTTACTGTGGTTGTTGGTGTGGCTTGTGTTTTTATTGTTTGTGTCACTGTGGTTGTTGGTGTGGCTTGTGTTTTCTTGTTTGTGTTACTGTGGTTGTTGGTGTGGCTTCTGTTTTTCTTGTTTGTGTCACTGTGGTTGTTGGTGTGGCTTGTGTTTTTCTTGTTTGTTTCCCTGTGGTTGTTGGTGATAATCTAATGTGGTGGTGTTGACGACTGCAGTGGTAGTAGTATTGGCGATGATGATGGTAGTTGTAGTAGTGTTTACAGTAGTACAAGAAGTAGTAGTAGTAGTAGTAGTAGTAGTAGTAGTAGTAGTAGTAGTAGTAGTAGTAGTAGTAGCAGCACAGTGGTGGTGGTGGTAGTAGTAGCAGCACAGTGGTGGTGGTGGTAGTAGTAGTAGTAGTAGTAGTAGTAGTAGCAGCAGCAGTAGTAGTAGTAGTAGTAGTAGTAGTAGTAGTAGTAGTAGTAGTAGTAGTAGTAGTAGTAGTAGTAGTAGTAGTAGTAGTAGCACAGTGGTGGTGGTGGTAGTAGTAGTAGTAGTAGTAGTAGTAGTAGCAGTAGTAGTAGTGGTGGTGGTGGTGGTGGTGGTGGTCGTCGTCGTAGTAGTAGTAGTAGTAGTAGTAGTAGTAGTAGTAGTAGTAGTAGTAGTAGTAGTAGTAGTAGTTTTAGTAGTAGTAGTGTTAGTAGTAGTAACAGTAGCAGCAGTAATAGTAGCAGTAGTAGGAGTAGCAGCAGTAGCGGCAGCAGTAGTAGTAGGAGTAGTAGTAGTGTTTGTTTTAGTAGTAGAAGCAGCAGCATCAGCAACACTAGCAGCAGCAGTAGTAGTTGGAACCAGAACTATTCGAATTACAATAATACATCCGTCTTTTCTGCCTACGTCGTAATCTGTCGTGATGCATTTATTCATCAGGTACTGTGTTTATCATTTATGAGCTGAGCTAGCACCTACTAGGTCTTTGAGAAAAGCCTGTTCACTCAACACCTTCAAGATTCCATGTTTTGGTAACTTCTTTACTTAAGCCATTGCCAACCCATAGAGACCCCTTCATGACACCAGTGATAAGACATTAGAAATGAGTGTAAATTTATGGACATTTTCTGATCAGAAATTAACCTCAAGTATAGTTCCCTGTGTGGGTTCGGGTACTCTATTGTGGTGAGAGGGGGGGGGGGGAAATAGACCATCTGCCTCCCCAGACAGAATGTCGTAGGAGTCGACTAATTGGGAGTGGGCATTCTTCGAAGTCGGAGTACCTCTTCCGGAGAAGCATGAAACCAAGGGACTGCGTAAGAATAAGCCAGAGTTGGAAAATGGTTTTGCATGCAACACTCGGTATCTGGAACAAGACGAATGTCCAGAGATGGAGGAACACCCTTAACTTTCCGCCGGAGTTTACAGCCGGTCAAAGCAAAGAAGAACCTAAAATATAGTGACAGATGATAAACTGGAAGGTGTAAGAGCTAGCGGAAGACACAGATGAATACCTGTATGAGCTGGACGTAGTGCATAACGGGGAAACGAACAGAAATCTATGGAGGATCTGATGATGGTGTGTTGTCGAAACTTAAAAACTCACTTATGCTTAAGGGCAGACTAAATGATGGAGATGATGATAATCTTCTTCTTCTTTGCGTTCACCAGCTGTACACTCTGGCGGAAAGTTCTGGTTGCTCGTCTATTACTGAACTGCAGTCCTGCTCCAGAACCTGAGTGTTGCGTAATAATGATGATGATGATGATGGCGATGGCGGTAAACTGTTGTAAATAAGTAGCTAATCCATAAAGCTATTTATTGTTTTACATCATCAATTGTACATTCGCAAACGCAACCGTGAGGCCGTTCACAAAAACTTGTACATTACACTGACATTTAGGGTTTGTTTCTGTCGAGGATTTATTTTTACACGTCCAAGGATACATTACAAACACTGAATACAAATTTTAGTTTATAACTTCTTCTTACTCTGTTTCTACGAATTCGTCTTCTCCTTCTTCTTTTCTTGCTTGTCGTTGTTGTTGTTGTTGTTGTTGTTGTTGTTATTGTTGTTGTTGTTCTTCTTCTTCTTCTTTTTCTTCTTCTTCTTCTTCTTCTTCTTCTTCTTCTTCTTCTTCTTCTTCTTCTTCTTCTTCTTCTTCTTCTTCTTCTTCTTCTTCTTCTTCGTCTTCTTCTTCTACTACTACTACTACTACTACTTCTTCTTCTTCTTCTTCTCATATGAATGGTCGGAAAGGGGGGGGGAACAGGATAGATCGTGGCAAAGGGGAAAGATAAAGAAAAAAATAGGTAGAAAAAGTGAAAAGATCGACAGGTTGGCACAACTGTGAGACCGTTCACAAATACTTGTACATTACACTTACATTTTAGGTTAGTTTTTTTTTTTTCGAGGATTTATTACATTTCTACAGAAACTCTATAATTAAAAACACACATTCAATACAAATTACTAGTTTACTTCTTCTTCCTCTTCTTCTTCTTCTTCTTCTTCTTCTTCTTCTTCTTCTTCTTCTTCTTCTTCTTCTTCTTCTTCTTCTTCTTCTTTTTCTTCTTCTTCCACTCCTTTTTTCTGCTCCTTGTTGATGTTATTGTTACTGTTGTTTTTGTTATTGTTGTCGTTGGAGCTGCTGTTTTTGTTGTTGTTCTTATTTTTCTTCTGGTATAAATGGTGGGTGGAGGAGGGCGAGGGTAGATCGTGGTAAGGGAGAAAGATAAAGAGAAAAATGGGTAGAAAAAAGAGAAAGGATAGACAGGTTGTTGACATCATGGCTGAGAAGAAATTATATAAAAAGAAATGTTTAATAGTACATAAAACAAAAAGAAAGAAAGCCGAGGACAAATCCCAGTGACGCGACTTCAGGTTATAACAAGAAGAAGAAGATGAAGATGCGTTAAATGAACGACTCTTCTCTACTGATCTGTTTTACCTCTGTTTCCTTCCTTTGGATCTATGAGTGTCCGTCACTGCTTGCCATCTTCTTTACTGATCCTTTCTACCTCTGTTTCCTTCCTTTGGATCTATGAGTGTCCGTCACTGCCTTCTATCTTCTTTACTGATCCTTCCATGTGAACCATTCTGGGGCATGATCATCAAAGTTACCCGTGTCATTCACCCCGCTCACCAGGACCGTTGCAGGGAAGGTCCTGGGTCTGCTGGAGTCAACAATTGGCTTGGCTGTAGTGGCGACATATCGGATGACGTAGCCGCATCTTCTTCGTGTGGATCGGTTGGTGTCGCTGCCGTGAACCAAGTGTCCGTGGTGGAGGGACATTTGACCAGCACGTAGTGGACAAGGGACAGCTTTGGACGCGTCGTACAGATTCTCGCGGATGGACTGGTTTGACGACAAAAGATTTCCCTGTTTGGTCTCCGAGACGTGCTCGAGAATTCCACTTTTGTGGGTTCCTGTGTTTAAGAAAAATGGTAGTTAGAACTAAATAATACTTTTTGGTCTCTAGTTACTATATTTAGTCTTAAAGATCTCTGTCTAATGTTGTCTGTAATTACTATATGCAATCTTTAAGTGCTCTATCTAATGTTTTTTTTTTTTTTGGTTACTATATGTAATCTTAAAGTGCTCTAATTGTGTCTTTAATTGCTATATATAGTCTTTGAGGGCTGTAATTGTGTCTTTAAATATTATATGTAGTCTTTAAGTGCTCTATATAATGTTGTCGATTTTCAGGTTTTTCTATCTTACACATTCACTCATTGCTTCATGTCATGTGTGCTCTAACTGTTCTCTTTGGTGTGGTCTTTGATTTTTCCATCTTACACGGTCTCGAAACATTGTATATCACACAGTCTGTAATTATTCCATCTTACACGGTCTCGAAACGTTGTTTATCACACAGTCTGTAATTATTCCATCTTACACGGTCTCGAAACGTTGTTTATCACACAGTCTGTAATTATTCCATCTTACACGGTCTCGAAATGTTGTATATCACACAGACTGTAGTTATTCCATCATACACGGTCTCGAAATATTGTATATCACACAGTTTGTAATTATTCCATCTTACACGGTCTCGAAATGTTGCACATCACACAGTCTGTAATTATTCCATCTTACATGGTCTCGAGATGTTGTATATCACACAGTCTGTAATTATTCTAATTTTTTATATTTTATGTAGTTTATAAGTACTGTTTATTTTTAAAAAAAGAAAATTAATTTTTATATCAAAGCAGTACTTTTGTATGAAGTGGAGATGGAGAACAACTAAGGTAATTACAAATAAACTACAAACATTCATTAACTGGTGCCTATGCAGAATAGGAGGAATTAAATGGTATGACAGAATCACTAATATAGAGCTTTGGGAGAGAACTAAACTGGTTCCAGGGGAGCAAGAGGTGAACAAAAGACGCTGGCGTTAAATAGAACACGTTGAGAAAACCTGAGAACAATATAACTAGAATGTCTTTGCCCTGGGACGCTCAGGGGCACAGAAATTAAGGAAGACTTAAAAACACACGGAGAAGGGAGCTAGACATCGAAGCTAAAAAGATAGGGAGGACATGTGCGAGCCGCACACGATAGCGAAGGATAGAACGATTTGACGTGGGTTAGTTGAGGACCTATGCTCCATTTTGGGTTAGAAAGGCAGAAGAAGAGGACTTTATAAATATCCTTTTTCAGTTGGGATCAAATTCAACAACGACTCACCAGGGATCACGAACATACATCCGTTCTCCACATCAGCGTCGTCGACCGCGTACCAAACACTGACAACATCGCCTTCCACTCCCCAGTACCTGCTCCAGTTGAAAGAATGAACAGAAAGTAAACATGTTGTTAGAATTACCAGAAGACTTCAAATGAAAACATTTATTATTTTTATCGATGAAGTCACCACAGAGTTTAATGCAAGACCTATCCAGCGTTGTTCTGTTAAAGTCATGAAAACATGTATCAATTTTCGATGATGTCACTACAGAGTTAAAGACCTCTAACGCTGTTCCGTTAAAGTCAGGAAAATATGTATCAATTTTCGATGAAGTCATCACAAAGTTCAATACAAGTCCTCCAGTGCTGTTCTGATAAAGTTATGAAAACATGTATCAATTTTCGATGGTCACCACAGAGTTCAATGTAAGTCTTCCAGTGCTGTTCTGATAAAGTCATGAAAACATGTATCAATTTTCGATGAAGTCACTACAGAGTTTAATGCAAGACCTTTCCAGCGCTGTTCTGATAAAGTCATGAAAATATGTATCAATTTTCGATGAAGTCACTATGAAGTCCTACAGTTCAAGTCCTCCAGTACCGATACAGTGCTGTATGTGTGTAGCAAAGAATTATCTTGGTCGCTTGTGTAACCACTCACGCGCAACCTGCAATAGCTCTAAATCAGACCCGAAAACTCTTTTCTGTCGATAACTCTTTGAGTTGTCTAGTCATGTGGAGAATCACTTGGTACTAGGTCGGGCGAGTACAGAGGTATGGTGCACACTGAAGGTTCTACAGCTTACCCGACATAACATCGCCTTCCACTCGCCAGTACCTGCCTGCATCGTCGACCAGGTCGCCCACTGGCTTGCCGGTAGACGACTTCGTCGCCGGTGGAACAGTATTTGTGTCTGTCTTCTTTGATCGCATCAACATTGTAAGAGTCCTTTTCAGGGCTACTTGGTGGCGTGCAATGCTAAGCTATTCTATATGGCGCAAAAAACCTAGTCACAATTATAACCTAAAGTCTTTCCGTACACCCTCCCCCCCCCCCTCAATTTAGGGATGCTGTCTGAACATGACGATTTTTTTTCGCAAAGCAAGCCAAGCCAAGGTTAGTACCTGCTCAAGTGTGGGGAGTGAACAGAAGGAAAACAGGTTGTTAGAATTACATACATAGGCACCAGTACCTGGTGGGGGGGGGAGGGGTGGGGGTTGACGCTCAGGAACCCGAAAGATTTTAAGGGAAGGCGTGTGTCGACAGGGTGACTGAGAAATAAATAAATGTGTAAAGAGGTTTAATTAACTGCATAAACTTGAAAAGAGGTTTTCTTTTAAAGAATTCGTTGAAATAGTTCATTTGTTTTTTATATGTTATCGTTGTTATTTATGATTTAGTACATTATTATTATTATCGTCCTTTTCTTCTTCGCATTCACCGGCTGTAAACTCTGCTGCACAATTCTGGTTATTCGTCCACTTCTAGATTTCCATCTTGTTCCAGCACTTGAGTTGTGCGTGCACTCTCGTTAACAGATCTGGTTTATTTGTATGCAGACTACTGGTTCGTCATCATTATCATTGTTATCATCATCATTATCGTCATCATCATCATCATTATCATCGTTGTCAACATTGTCATCATCATCATTATCGTTATCATCATCGTCAGCACCATCATCATCGTCGTCATTATCGTCATCATCATCATCGTCGTTGTCAACATTGTCATCATCATCACCATCATCGTCATCCTCATTGTTATCATCATCATCCTTATCGTTATCATCAACGTCAGCACCAGCATCGTCGTCATTATCGTCATCATCGTCGTCATTATCGTCATCACCATCATCATCGTCGTTGTCAACATTGTCATCATCATTATCGTCATCATGCAAGAACTGCATCGACACAACGTACCTGACATCCTGATGCCAAGCTACAAACGCTTCCTTGTCTTCGGATTCCTTCACGGGATATTTGCAGATAAAGCGAGAATCTAGAAGGATCATGTTCGGTCCTAGGATTGCCTGAAAGGAAGACCACAGGGGCAGGTTAATACAATACTAGCAGTAACAACCAACTGTTAGCTTGGGTTTTCTTCTTCTTCTTCTTCTTCTTCTTCTTCTTCTTCTTCTTCTTCATTTAACGATGACCACTTTCAGCTAGGACAGAGAACACTGTTTCCTTCCTGTCCGCTTTTTTTGTGGTGACGCTTCTGGTTCTCATTTCATCTGGTCTTGAATTGTGCATTCCTTGGGTTTTTGAGAAAACCTTTTTCATAAAGTTTTTTTGTTTTTTGTTTTGGTTTTGTTCCTGAAGATGGTTGGTTGGTTGGTTTAGTTAGCTGGCTATTAGGTTGGTTGGTTTGATCGTTCGTTCGTTCGTTCATTAGGTGGTTCGTCCGTTAGTTCGTTGGGTGGGTGGTTGGTTGGCTGGCTGGCTCCTATGTTCTGGCACCTATGAAACCCACACCGGTTCTCTGTTTCAAATCAAGCTGGCAGTACAAGATGCTCTCTGCCCTGCTAATATGGCATCCTCAATGTGCTTAAGCTAAGATCTTACCTTCAAAGGACGGAGCATGTTCGGGTGAGTAGCAAGCCGGAGCACCCAGTCATCAGTCAGATGCTTGTTATGCAATGAGTATGTAGCGTTCTCCTCCCCTGGTGGAAGCAATCAAACATGAAATTCGTTAGCAGTTTCCAAGTTAAAGCGAGTCTGACTGGTATAAGTAAGGACATCTAGGTATTGAGGTGTGGATGTGTGTTAGAGGAACGTGAATGTGTGTGAGGAGCGTGAATGTGTGTGAGAGGAGTGTGAATGTGTGTGAGAGGAGCGTGAATGTGTGTGAGAGGAGTGTGAATGTGTGTGAGAGGAGTGTGAATGTGTGTGAGAGGAGTGTGAATGTGTGTGAGTGGAGCGTGAATGTGTGTGTGAGGAGCGTGAATGTGTGTGAGAGGAGTGTGAATGTGTGTGAGAGGAGTGTGAATGTGTGTGAGAGGAGCGTGAATGTGTGTGAGAGGAGTGTAATTGTGTGTGAGTGGAGCGTGAATGTGTGTGAGAGGAGCGTGAATGTGTGTGAGAGGAGTGTGAATGTGTGTGAGAGGAGCGTGAATGTGTGTGAGAGGAGTGTGAATGTGTGTGAGAGGAGCGTGAATGTGTGTGAGAGGAGTGTGAACTCATTGCGCATGTAACGGGTGTTTACTTTACCAAGTGAATTATATAGGAATAACATATTGGGACCAATCAGTTAATGAGGCGGCATTTCCACAACGAAGATCGGCTGTAATGCGCTTTCTGCACTTTGTTCTGTCAGTACATTCTTTCATGCTGCCGTTCGCCCACCCTTTAATGTTATCCGTTCAGGAATATCGCTGTCCCTTGCTCGTTTGCTTTCAACGTTTCCCTGCCGTAAATTTTATACGGTCAGTTGCGTATCCTGTACAGGACGTTGTAGAACCAACCACAACAGCTCCTGGCTGTTGTGTGGTTTTTCTAGGCAAATTTTCGTGCAGTAGTTTGCAAATTTTATAAGAATGTGTAGAATACTGTGTCTTTTAATTTGACTGCACTTTTCACTTGCATCTTCTTTATTTCGACAACTTTTGTTTTCTTTCAGTCAGTCGGAAATTGTGTTGTTTATTGTTGTTTTCATGAAATAGGACAAATTCTTCTGTATGTTCAGATATTTAGTCTCAGTCCGATGTAAAAAAAAAAGTATTTTTTCCTCGCTTTTATGCGTAGATGGCACTTCGTGCTATACCTTCACTTTATAGACCAATCGGCTCTTGTTGGGTGATAAGGTCAACATCGCGCCGGTCGCCTTTACTTCCAGAACTATACGTGGTACCCATATTATGTTGGGACTACCTGGAAGGTTCAGTCATTTGTGTAAACAAATCCGACTGGATGTGAATTCGAACTCACAAAAAGGCCAGCTTTTAGTCGCTACACCATCGAGGCTTCAAGGCATGGGTGCCCGGAATTAACTGTTTGATACAGTTGAGCCAGGCCTGTGGGTTTTGTTAATATTGGATTGGTATCCGAATAGCGGAAGAAGGAATACAAGGGAATACAGGCGTGGTGGGGAATCAGCAGCCAGACAGATTGGCTGGATCTGCACCGCTGGGTGGTGAATTGATAAATGACAAGGCAGATGTGGTCAGAGCCCTTTGGGAACGAGCAACGAAGTCAGAAGAGAAATTAGATTATTATGGGCTGGAGATAATGCAGAGGGTTCGGCTGGAACACTACGCTGAGAGGAAAGGCAAGACGGACATTAAACCAAACTAAGACCGGCGTCATTAGTACTGGAACTCTGCGTTTGCTGAAGAAGATGGGAACGGAGTGCGCATTGGAATGCCCCGAGTGCTGTGATGTAAATTCTTGATTCAACTCAGCTCAACTGCTTGGGGAGGGGGGAGGGGTTAAAAGATGTTAAATAGAGTATGTACAGGAGAAAACAAAATTTCACTGACCTATGTCATCCTGCACTTTGTCAAAGTTGGCCCTGAGTTCTACCACCTCCTTCTCGTTAAGAACGTCGAGACCACTGACGTATCCGTTCTTGTCAAAGACCTCGGCGAGGCTGCGCATGTCTGAGTTTTTCGTCGTCATCTTCGCCTTAACAACAGCAAGCTAAAAATAAAATAACTTTCATTGCCCCCTAGCAGATAAAGGAACCTTGATGGAGTAAGAACATTATATATAAATAACAGACAGTACCTTGATAGGCACTCGTAGAAGGAAGTTGATAGTTAGAACTGGTGATATCAGTCACCAAACACTTGTTGAGTTTACCTCTATAAATCTGCCCAGCTGTGAGGAATGACGGTGTAACTGACCCTCGCGTTGACCCTCATCCTGGCTTGATCCACAATGTCCACTAGCTCTTTCAGGACATTATTATGGCGCCAACTATCTCTTCCCTGGCCTAGGGCTTCTCTGCACGCGAACAGTACGTGCTCGAGCGTCTACTTAGCTCTACTGTAAAGTGGATATGTCGGGTGAGTGTGTGTGTGTGTGTGTGTGTGTGTGTGTGTGTGTGTATGTGTGTATGTACGTATGCATGCATGCATGCATGTAAATGAATGAATGAATAAATGAATCACGCTGCTTCACATCTTCCTACTTTACTTTACTTTTTTACTTTTTACATACATACATACATACATACATACATACATACATACATACATACATACATACATACATACATACATACATACATACATACATACATACATACATACATACATACATACATACATACATACATACATACATACATACATACATACATACATACATACATACATACATACATACATACATACATACATACATACATACATACATACATACATACATACATACATACATACATACATACATACATACATACATACATACATACATACATACATACATACATACATACATACATACATACATACATACATACATACATACATACATACATACATACATACATACATACATACATACATACATACATACATACATACATACATACATACATACATACATACATACATACATACATACATACATACATACATACATACATACATACATACATACATACATACATACATACATACATACATACATACATACATACATACATACATACATACATACATACATACATACATACATACATACATACATACATACATACATACATACATACATACATACATACATACATACATACATACATACATACATACATACATACATACATACATACATACATACATACATACATACATACATACATACATACATACATACATACATACATACATACATACATACATACATACATACATACATACATACATACATACATACATACATACATACATACATACATACATACATACATACATACATACATACATACATACATACATACATACATACATACATACATACATACATACATACATACATACATACATACATACATACATACATACATACATACATACATACATACATACATACATACATACATACATACATACATACATACATACATACATACATACATACATACATACATACATACATACATACATACATACATACATACATACATACATACATACATACATACATACATACATACATACATACATACATACATACATACATACATACATACATACATACATACATACATACATACATACATACATACATACATACATACATACATACATACATACATACATACATACATACATACATACATACATACATACATACATACATACATACATACATACATACATACATACATACATACATACATACATACATACATACATACATACATACATACATACATACATACATACATACATACATACATACATACATACATACATACATACATACATACATACATACATACATACATACATACATACATACATACATACATACATACATACATACATACATACATACATACATACATACATACATACATACATACATACATACATACATACATACATACATACATACATACATACATACATACATACATACATACATACATACATACATACATACATACATACATACATACATACATACATACATACATACATACATACATACATACATACATACATACATACATACATACATACATACATACATACATACATACATACATACATACATACATACATACATACATACATACATACATACATACATACATACATACATACATACATACATACATACATACATACATACATACATACATACATACATACATACATACATACATACATACATACATACATACATACATACATACATACATACATACATACATACATACATACATACATACATACATACATACATACATACATACATACATACATACATACATACATACATACATACATACATACATACATACATACATACATACATACATACATACATACATACATACATACATACATACATACATACATACATACATACATACATACATACATACATACATACATACATACATACATACATACATACATACATACATACATACATACATACATACATACATACATACATACATACATACATACATACATACATACATACATACATACATACATACATACATACACATACATACATACATACATACATACATACATACATACATACATACATACATACATACATACATACATACATACATACATACATACATACATACATACATACATACATACATACATACATACATACATACATACATACATACATACATACATACATACATACATACATACATACATACATACATACATACATACATACATACATACATACATACATACATACATACATACATACATACATACATACATACATACATACATACATACATACATACATACATACATACATACATACATACATACATACATACATACATACATACATACATACATACATACATACATACATACATACATACATACATACATACATACATACATACATACATACATACATACATACATACATACATACATACATACATACATACATACATACATACATACATACATACATACATACATACATACATACATACATACATACATACATACATACATACATACATACATACATACATACATACATACATACATACATACATACATACATACATACATACATACATACATACATACATACATACATACATACATACATACATACATACATACATACATACATACATACATACATACATACATACATACATACATACATACATACATACATACATACATACATACATACATACATACATACATACATACATACATACATACATACATACATACATACATACATACTACATACATACATACATACATACATACATACATACATACATACATACATACATACAACATACATACATACATACATACATACATACATACATACATACATACATACATACATACATACATACATACATACATACATACATACATACATACATACATACATACATACATACATACATACATACATACATACATACATACATACATACATACATACATACATACATACATACATACATACATACATACATACATACATACATACATACATACATACATACATACATACATACATACATACATACATACATACATACATACATACATACATACATACATACATACATACATACATACATACATACATACATACATACATACATACATACATACATACATACATACATACATACATACATACATACATACATACATACATACATACATACATACATACATACATACATACATACATACATACATACATACATACATACATACATACATACATACATACATACATACATACATACATACATACATACATACATACATACATACATACATACATACATACATACATACATACATACATACATACATACATACATACATACATACATACATACATACATACATACATACATACATACATACATACATACATACATACATACATACATACATACATACATACATACATACATACATACATACATACATACATACATACATACATACATACATACATACATACATACATACATACATACATACATACATACATACATACATACATACTTTTCGTAAAAAGTAAAAAAGTAAAGTCGGAAGATGTGAACCAGCGTCATTCATTTATTCATTCATTCATTTATTCATTCATTCATTTGTTAGTTCGTGTGTTCATTCATATGTTCATTCATTATTTCATTTATACTTAAATCTAGGACCAGATTTAGACTTGATGAGGCCCCAAACTATATAAAGCACTGAGGCCCCTACTGCTTTTGAATTACACGAGCCAGTTTCAGAAAACTGTAAAAATAGCCTTTTTAATATACGGATGATGGGAATAAACTGTCGTTTACATTTTAGTAAAAGAAATGATAAAGAATGTGTTTCGCAAAATCACTGAAATTATATCATATATCCCTTTTTAAGGCTGTATTACAAACTCAAATTATTCGTGAACACAAACTAGCAATTTGTTTAGGCCCCTAAAGATTGTGAGGCCCTGAGCTGCAGCTTAGTGAGCTTATGCCTAAGTCCACTGCATAAATATAATTATTGTAAAAGCAGATACTCCGGTCATCATCATCATCATCATCAAGTGCCCTGTCGACTGTCGTAGCGATCACGGGTGTATCAGTTCCTGTGTTGACACCCATCCATCCCATGACAAACGGTTGTCAAGAATCCCTTCGCGCTGTCTTCCTCCGTCTCTCTCTCTCTTTCAACAGATCTATCATGTGGTCACAATATGTCCCGTTTTCCTTTATCTCACAACTGGTTAGTTGCGTATCCTTTACAGGACGTTGCAGAACCAACCCCAACAGCCCCTTTCTGTTGTGTGGTCTTTCTAGGCAAATTTACGTCCAGTAGTTTGTCATTGCTCTCTGGACGGTCGGCTTTCTTGATACCACTGTCGAAACCAACACAAGGCGCATGGCCCGCAGCTGAGATCGA